CCACTAAAAGCTAGTTTACTCATGGATGTTCACCATAATTCAATTTAGCTATTTTTAGAGCCATTGCTATGTCGTGCCGGATTCTCGAGCCCGGTGAGGACTTTTTGGCCCTTGAAGGCAAAGAGTTCAATGAGAGGTAGGCTCTCCACTTGCAGGCCCACTCTGGTGACGTCATCTATTTTCGGAACTTACCTGATTCTTTGAAGGATACGTGGCCCAGACGGTAAAGTCTCACAGGCGAAACTGGACGAAGTCTGGCCACGCCTCCGGGTGTTAGCTCGAGCTCAACCGGCTGATAAGTACACCTTGGTGAAGGGTATCATTGAAAGTAAAGCCACACCTCAGAGGTTCATTGATTTTATCGAATAAAATTCCTCAACATTTTAATCCTCTATTCTTCCAACATCTTAGCGATTTTCTAGGGAAATTGTCGCTGTAACTGGAGACGGCACCAATGACGGTCCAGCTCTGAAGAAAGCCGACGTCGGTTTCGCTATGGTAAGTTGGGGTGCTCCAGTGAACGTGTTTCCCTAGCCATCACGAGTCATTCTACACTTTCTGGGAAAGTCCTTTTCATTTCTGTGGCAAACCTAGTCCTCAAATTCGCCAGATGCAGGCTAGAAGCACGCTGGCAGGTCCATATGCTACGGGCGGTTCACGCCCGTGCTCCTTGTTTGAGATACTAAAAGAAGCTATTTGAGGGTATCGCAGGAACCGATGTAGCTAAAGAGGCTTCAGACATCATTCTTACGGACGACAACTTCACTTCAATCGTTAGGGTGAGGTTCACGTGGTATTCAAATTGAAGGTAGCAAAGAGGCTAGCCGAAATGACTGGACTTTGCTATACAAACTTCTGCTCAATCAACTTCCGAAACAATCTGTGCTTTGGCGGTCAGCTTCTGTGACCATTAAACTTTTGCTTGCAGGCTGTTATGTGGGGTCGTAACGTCTACGATTCGATTTCAAAATTCCTGCAGTTTCAACTCACTGTCAATGTCGTTGCTGTACTCACTGCATTTGTCGGAGCTGTCACAGTGTCGGATTCACCACTGAAGGTCTGATTGTAATGTTGTTTTTTTTGTCGAAAATATTCAGTGCTTTGAGGGCCCAGTCCTTTTTAGCCACGTGGGCGGTGTTAGGTCTATAAATGCGCATCCATCCTTGGCTCACGCTTCCTGTCCAAGAGATAAAGAGCAGGGGCAAAGGAGAAAGCACAATGGTGGACATGAACTATTTGAATGCTGCTGAACTTATTCTCCATTCGAACTCCTCCTTGTCCCTGAGTTCGTTATCATGTTTTTTAATCGAAAAAAAATAATTTCAGGCTGTCCACATGCTTTGGATAAATTTGATCATGGACACATTAGCATCTTTAGCTTGTTGGACCATATACGGAGAGTGCTGCCTAGTGAAAAGCTGCATGAACCGAGAAGGTGAGGATGGAAGGTGAGAGTGGGTGTGGGGCACATAAGTGCTGTTCGTTTTTGATGTCTACAACTGGGAATTTCGTTCCAGAAGACTGAAACGTTTTTGCTAGCAGCCTTGGTATCATATGATGGAATTCACTGGTAGTGAGTAGTTTTAAGAATATCAAGAAATTAGCTTTGGTTGACGGGAATTAATTTTGTGGATTTTTTAGTCGTTGAAGTTGAAAGCGAAGTCGGCAAAAATTAGCACCTTCGACAACTGCCTCTATTTACGTATAGTCGAAGTGCTAAAATCGCTTAAGCTGCTCCATACATTTGGAAAAGGTCGAGCTAGAAGTTCCAGCAAGGGAATCTCACTAGGACGCTTTGGAACGAATTTCAAGAATTTTGAAGTTACCAACCTTCACCTCGCCGATATTGGGCAGCTCACGTCTGTTCCACCTGAAATTTTATGCTAATATTTGAATGTTTCGCTGATATGTTTTGCATGCTCTGATAGCAAATTTCGTGCTCTATAACACTGCTATAGAAATCTGTTCTCCAGAGGTGTTTGCTTTCTGTTAAGTTCAGGTTATCATTACGGAACGCGAAGTCGTTGAGAACTAGCGTTCCCGTTCTCCACGAATTTTATGCTAACATTTGAATGTTTCGCTAATGTGTTCTATATGTTCTGATAGCCAATTTCGTGCTCTATAACACTGCGTTGCAGTTATTTTGAAAATCCGTTTGATGAACCTTGTTTTTCAGGTGGATAATATGGAATGTCAGGTCGATAAGCATCAGCACTTCAGACATCTCCTCCTTTTCGCATTCAACAGAGGTATCAGTACCATTCTTGAAGCGTCTGAACCAATTTTGGGCTGTTTTGGAGGAGAGCGGATCTTCTCTCCGTACACTTTCCGAATTTCCCGAGCAGCTCAGCAGCTCTGATGGACATGTCTGAAGTGCTGCATTAGCTTATCGACCTGACATTCCATATTATTCACACGAAAAACCGGTTTCAAACGGATTTTCAAAATAACTGCAACGCAGTGTTATAGAGCACGAAATTGGCTATCAGAACATATAGAACACATTAGCGAAACATTCAAATGTTAGCATAAAATTCGTGGAGAACGGGAACCCTAGTTCTCAACGACTTCGCGTTCCGTAATGATAACCTGAACTTAACAGAAAGCAAACACCTCTGGAGAACAGATTTCTATAGCAGTGTTATAGAGAGACTCAGAAAATTTGCTATCCAAGAACGATGCAATATCATATCAGCGAAAACGTTCAATATTAGCTAAATTTCAGGTGAACAGAGCGTGAGCTTGCACCCAATATCGGCGAGGTGAAGGTTGGTAACTTCAAAATTCTTGAAATTCGTTCCAAAGCGTCCTAGTGAGATTCCCTTGCTGGAACTTCTAGCTCGACCTTTTCCAAATGTATGGAGCAGCTTAAGCGATTTGTGTACTGTGCGACTAGAGTAAAACTAGAGTGGCAGCTGTGTCGAATGGTGCTAGAGTGTTTTGGCCGACCTTCGTCGTTTTCAACTTCAATGACTAAAAAAGGCACAAAAATTTATTCCCTCAACCAAAGCCGTTTTGATATTCTAAAACTACGTGAAGTTTCCTATCAGATGATATCAAGCTTGCTAGCAAAACATTTCATCTTTGGAACGAAATTTCCGGTTGAAAAAAAACGAAAGTACTTATGTGCCAACCCATAGTACTCGGTTCAATAATCATGTATCAACCCTCAGTCATAGGTTAACTGATAATTTCCTTCACTTTTAGGAAAAAATCTCTCATTTCACGAACCATGGTGAAGAACATTCTCTGCCATGCGGTAGCAGGCCTGTATAATTTGTGATTCTATTCAACAATCTCTATACGTAAGCTGAAATTGTAACAATACGGTAAATTTAGTGTAGGTAACTTAAGCCATGCCAAAATACTGGTTTTTTTTACTAGCCATGTAACATTCGAAGCTCGAATAGCACGTATGAAATCAGCAACTGCTGAGTGTGCTGAATCTTTTCTCGTTAAACACCACCCCTTCAGGCTACATATCCGTGGCGTACGGTCCAGCACAGTCTCCTAATGTTGTTTTCTTGAGTAAAAGTCATTCTATTACATATTTCCTGCTGTTTTTTGAACAAGAATCGTTATTATGTCAAAATTGATAAAATCTAAATGGGAAGGTTCGGTGTGTCGCAGACGAAGTCGGGGAGGTGTCAGAGAATGGTATGAGCCACCTCACCTTTTCAATCCCTGTGTTTTTTTCTTTTCCTAATCAAGCACTACTCGACTACCACTGGGGGAAAAAGACAGCCGGAAGCTGGTCATTTCGCCTCTCCTTAAACCATTCAGTTAGAATGCGACGATATCAGTTATATGTGCTGCAGTAAAGCCTATAACCCAGGCATTACACAAGCATGAAATGACCACCCTGACTATGACTGTACCTCTCAAGCGTACGCTGGAATCTCGACTGGGGTTCGTATATCTGACCGAAGAAATGGGACTCGTACCAGAGCTAGAGATTTTTTTGATTGTTGTTTCCTCTCCCATCCCCTCTCAGGCACGCCATATTGCAATCTTGTTGCTGCACGTGATGGAATCGTTAGTGAGGCTGAGTTTGACTGCCCACTTCCTGCTGCCACTTCTCCACCAGTTGTTGAAGCGAGTAAGCGACAACAGTACGTGGGAAACGTATGATACGAACGAGGTGGTAACACTTTTTTGGCTGAAATAAAAAAAGAAGAAAAACAGACCGGTGCGACGCCAAACTCATCTCCCCTGACACGCCTCACATCCACAGTGAACCAACCTGCAACTCCTGGCGGCGCAACAATTCTACTTATTCTGGTACTTGGTCATAATGACTCCTTCCTCTCCTCTCCCCTCCCCCTGATTCGTTGGAGATAGGGTGTAGAACCGGCGGAGGAACATGAGGAGGACGAGGTGAACGTATGAAGTGGGGGGACTGACTTTCCTGTTCGCTACTTAAAACTGACCATTCTTCACGGGTATTGCTATCTGCACCTCACTTCAAAGGCATAGGCGCAGCATGGGTCCTGCGTGGCGCATTTGTGTTGGAGGAAGTATCCATGATCGGCCACCGAGCACAAACTGTTCTTTTGGTTATTTTTTTCTAGGAGCGAGTAGCTATGAAATTCAATTCAGGTGACCGCATCTTCGGCATCAAGTCCGGTCTGTATGCACCTCTTTTCGCCCCACCTTCTCAACACTTCACTATCGTCTTCAATGCATTCGTCATGATGACCCTGTTCAACGAGATCAACGCCAGAAAGGTTCACGGCGAACGCAACGTTTTCAAGGCAGGTTTCATGTCCATCTTCTGCGCAATACCTGCTACATGAAAATAAACTGGCTGAAATGACTGGAATGAAATGGCTGGAACTGCACAAAAAATTTTTTTCACATGATTGTCTACGAAGGCGAGCTAATCTTGAAGTCTTCCCTGAACCCTCCGAGATAGCCCTCTCTTACAATTTTGTTCTGTTAGCCTCAGCCTTGTGAATGAGACCCCAGGTAACACCGCTGTGCTTGTTGCAAAGCACTTGATTGGCTCACTGCTTGCTACGACTCTGACCTGCTACAGATGATTTCATCGCAATCAGTCGGGGCGGTATCAGGAGGCGCGGAATGAGCTCACTCCGGCTGCTTTTTACCAATGGTAATCTCCTTGGAAAGAAAACAACCAGAAAAGTAGAAAGCGCTGCGAACGGGCTCATTTCATGCCTCCTGACCTTGCCCCGGCTGATTTTGACATTCTGCAATCGACAAGGCTCGGACGAGCGATGGCCGAGACGCCTGCCAGGGCCGTTGTTTTTACCCAACGATTCTAACATGAGTACGTCACGCTTGGGGTGAAGCTGCCCTGCTGCTTTCCATTACAGAACCCTTATACCCCTATGTTGGTAGGGTCCGCCATGACGTACAGTCTCATACACTGCAGAAACGTGGGCGCGGGTGAGGTTCGCGCTGGCTAGTGACTCGCTGTGACGCGCAGGGATACAGTCGCGTCACAGCGGAGTCCAGCACTGGCGCGGCTCACTCCCCACGAAGCTGCAGAATGATAGCACCTATAGGTGGAGAGAAATGGACTTTGGCCAAGCATCCCTATACTTACTTGCAGTATTAATCTTACCTCTCCAATGGAGGCACATGGAAGGAAATATGATTCGTGAAAATGTCAGGAAAATCGTAGTACACGGATGTTTTCAGCGTTCATAGATCATTTCTAATGGACCTAATTACCGGTTGCCATTTCTTCATCACCTTACCTCATTGGGTCGTACACATGGAACCAGAGACATTTCTTGTAATTCTAATCCATGTGCCAAGAAGGCCCAACCACTATTGGGAACACGAGCCGCTACCCGGTTCAGATTCGGAATGAACGTACTTTAAGAACTTCGCCTGAGAAAAAAATGGACCAGTTCCCTCGCCAACAGTACGACTTCATTTCAAAAGTTCTGTTTGTTCACCTCACTGCTCGCCATTAAGCTCTCCCGCTAAATGATACTGCTGAAGTGGGAATTTTCAGGAATTATTTTGAATCGCGCCGTAAAAAGAAAATATTTCCAGGACTGTAGTAATGATCGAGTATTTGCGTGATTTGGGTGTCGACGTTTATCGGCCAAATTCTCATCACTCAATTCGGTGCAGCGTGGTTCTCCACTGCTCCCTTGACAATTAAACAGGTTTGTGTACTGCAGCTCTCTATTTTTGCGAAAAAAACTGCTCATTGGAATTTTTAGTGGATCGTCTGCCTTGCACTAGGCGTTTCAACTCTTCTCTGGGGTCAGGTTGTGGCTACGATTCCAAGTAAGAAACTGCCCAAGACTTGGAAGGTCGGACGTGGAGAGGTGAGCAGTTCATGGTTTTATGGCGAATGGCGCTGTTTAGCTTGAAGGGGGCACTTTCGCGAGTACTTTTTGTAGGATCATGTAAACTAGCAAGTCTCACATCGGCCAAACCTGCAATTTTCTGTGAGCGCAAAGTTGTTCAAGTAAGCTTTTGACCACTTGAACAACTTTGCCCTTCAGGTCTTCACGATGTGGCCTGTACAAGCTTAGCTGACGTCAGTACTATCTGGTGCACTCACTAACCCGAAGGCGTCGAAAAAGTGCGTAGCTTAGAGAGCAGAAATTGAAAAGTAGCCCAGCTTCGGTTTTGCCCATACCGTTAGACGGAAGCCAAGCAAAACATGGTTGCCTCTCGATAGCGGCAACGACTGTTAGCGCCCATTACTTGGGTTTTCTGGTTCTTTGAGCAGTATTATTCCGCTGCCTTCTGTTACGGGCTATGCGTACTGTACTCCACAATCCCTTAATCTGTTAAGGCCCCCTTTCACATCTGTAGCTTCTTCCTAGCTTACAGTAACAGTCATCTTTGATAATGCGCTGCATTACCGAGAAGGGCCGAAAGCTAGCCGAATGTGGATCAGTGCCATAGGATTTATAGGCTGGGACAGTGGTCTCACAGAGTGTGCAGTGTTACTTTCCCAGTTGCGGCCAGACAGCAAAAAAAGACGTTGCACGCAGAGTTGTAAAGTGCAGTCGTGCCAGGACCCAATTCACTCAAGGCAGCAGTGTTGTGGCACGTCGACGCTCTAAACTCTCCCTGCGTCTGCGTCTGATCAACCGTCTAGGAGATACTGTGTTAATGCGCTCGATGTACCGAATGGGAAGTAACGCTCCACAGTCATTCGAGTACAACTTAAGCACGGCACTTACTTGGAACTAGAGATCCTCACCTCTGAAACTATTCAACTCTACCGGGGTAATGGTAGAACTTGCCATTTACCTTGGTAGAGTTGCCAAGGTAAATGGTAGAACTACAGAAATTAAATTGTAGAACTACAGAAAACTATTCCAGGTGGAACCGTCAAAGATTCACATTAATGGCGACTACAATGTACGCACTAGATCGCGTGCGCTGACTGTCCGTCGTTCAGGAAAATCGTTATGGATGAGAGGAATGTTCCTCATGGGACAACATGTGAGTTACCGTACATGGATTTACGACATTTCACTACCGTAATTGGCTTATTCTGGTTGGTGAACTTTTGATTAAGCGATTTTTCAGCTCCGTACGATTCGTGCATTCCAAATGCGTGACAGGAACATCGGCAAAACTGCACCCACGATGACAGCGGAAGCGGCAGAGCGGTGGCGATCCAGTTATCGGAAGTATCGGCATCAAAAACACCATGAGAAAAGTGGGATCATTTCATCGATTTTCCGGGATTTACTGACAATAACAGTAGTCCTCTTGTGGTCACTGTGGAATGAGGCACCCCGTGGGTCAAGGAATTCTCGGCTGACGGCTATGATATGATTTCCTTGCCTAGAAAGGTCATCACGAATCTCAGTTTAGTTAGTAACTGAAAATAGCTAGAGATCCTTCCCGGGTTTTGCAAACAATCCCGGAATACGGGCTCATCTGAATAATAATAGGCAGATAATAATGATTACAGTATGCATATAATACTAATGAAGAAGTAGTAGGGAAAGAAAGTCCAACGGATGGAATCCATAATGAGGCGGCAATTTTTCCCAAGATCACAGGTTTCTCTTCTCTAGGCAAGATATGGGTCCATCCTTGGATTAGTACCTGAACTCCCTTGCACATCAGAACGCCGGCAGGTCCTCACTGAATGCCTATCGAAGTTTTCCCGAAGCTTCGAAGCCGATAAGCCTTCATAGGTCACAAAGTATAGACGGGCGTTGAGTGGTCCCTCACAAGGATGTGCCAGGCATTCTACTTCTGCTCTATATTACACTGACGTTTCAAAGACATTTGGCGCAATATTTTGGTACTCGGTCTAAAATGCTAGCAGGATGCTATGGGAAAGTGGCGAAAAAACGAAGTGAACGGTCAAAAACCTGCGAAGAAAAGCCTTCGTTCTTCATGACTCAGAAAGCAATTTCGGACGAGTTTCCCGTAGGCATCTGCCAATAACCGCTACGGTAGATACGGCTGCACGTATGTACTCATATATCCATGCAGCACCGCAGTCCGCTTCATATCAATCCCTTCGCTTCATATTTTACTTCGCAAATGAAGCAATACGAGCATCAGGTACGGTCGTCCATTTGTGGGCGGGCGGGTGCGTGGGCGTCCGGGTCGGTATGTTGCAGCTTGATAGGGCCTTTATAAGGGTGCCTTCCTTGGAAAGGGCGCTACGCAGCGCCTGCTCGTCCTGCCAGATGTACTAGTCCTACTCGTCTCAGGAATTTACCGTGCCAGCTTTTAAATTTGAAAAGTGCTCAATACTGGGAGATAAGCCATGTGAGGGTCACTGCGTTTGCACTCCCAGACCAAACGTTCACCAATCAGCTTCTGGAACATGCATCGTTTGCTTGGTCCGAGCTGGAGTCGATACACTATCTGAATTCCACATCGCGCATGTGACAAGCGTCACAGCTTCTTAATATCTGCGCCAACTGTGTTGCTAGATGCTCCTAAACTTCAGGAAAGTAGCCATGCGCTATCCATCGGAGAGTGCAACCTTAGGCGAAGATCCTTCTCAGTCTCTAAGCGTTTTGACTCATAAGCCATTCTAGATTTTAACCGTTGTACCTTATACCATTCTGGATGGAGCTCGTACTCTGGTGAACCCTCAAGCCATTTTACAATTTCAGAAGCGGCAGCGGAACGTGCCGAAACGGAAAGAGCCAAGTTGCCACCTGATATGAAAGAAAAAAAGAAGACCTTTAAACAAATAAAAGCTGTCGTTCGTGGAAGATCACTCGAGAAACACGTGAATATTTTTGCAGTATTTCCATTTTTTTCGTTTTTTTTTCCACACACATTACAGTAGTCCTTTTTGCAGGAGCATCATCAGCAGCACAAGAAAAAACACCATTCAGTAGATATCGACGATTTAGAGAAAGCGTAGAAGCCACTTCTTCCCTGATAGATTTGAATTTCTTTTTGTATCTCTCTCAAATCGACATGATCAATCGATAGTCACGCGAGACCCAGGACGACTATTTAGCGCCTTTGCTAAAGCTATTGCCTAAAATTATTTATTGCCAAAATGTGTTGTGTTTTCTCTTTTTTGCCTTTCGAAAGTCCTAATGATGATTTAAAAATGTTAGTGTACATAATAAGTTTTTGTTGTATTTTTAGATGAGAGGATGTTCGATGATCGTTACTGGATAAAATTGTTTTTAGGCCACAATTCGAGGAAATACTGTGTGATTTGGTATTACTGGCATACTGTAGCGGCCTTCGAAGACTTACGGGACAGGGCCAGAACTTTTACTTTAGGAGAGAAAGAAATGGAGGACTGGGAGTGCTGAGGCATCGGAAAGTGCAAAAAACATCTCGCGAGCCAGGCTATGAGCTTTTTTAGTGGGATGTGACTCCGGGAAATTGCTTATATTGCTTCAAAATTCGAAATAGTCAAAGGCACCCTAGCCGTATAATATCATGCAGACTTGAGAGCGCAGAGAAAAACAGAAAACTAAGACAAGTAGAGGGATTCAGTTCAAGTTGTTCGAAGACTGTATAGAAGAAACTTGGCTTTTTATATCCTTTTAGATCTACGCTACAATTTTGAACCTTAAAGGAGTGAGGACTGTTGGGCTTAGAGGGGATTTTGACCGAAGATTGACCAGAGTGTGGCAGGGATGCCCATCTGCCACTGGTTTACTTGTTTCGGCAACAGCAGTCAACGCTGTCGAACTGTTTGATTTGTTTATTGGAGTTTTTCTTCGCAGCTCGGAAACCGTGTGCCACCGGAAGTTTGTTTGCCTTTGGCTAGGAGAGTTTGCCCAAGGAGCTAGAACCCCGGTCTAGCATCAACGTTACCCACTTTCTGAATAGAAAATGACTGCTCCAACCCCTGAAAAAGAAATATAAAGGAGCTCAAAAGGAGAGGCAACTGTAAATGTGCAAAAAAACAAATATTGAACTAAATCGTGGTAATTTTTCAATCTCATTTCTGCAGTGACTTTGGAATCTGGTTGAAGGTCTTGGAGCAACCTATGATCGTTTCACGGTGCATCGCACTGGCTGTTCTTATACACAAAGAAGGACATAAAATCTATCACTTCCGTCACGCCTTGGCATATAATTTTCTGCCGGGTCCTGTGAATAAGGCAATGGTCTCTGAGTGCTCCCCCTCCCCGTATCTCACGTAGCAAATGGCACGATCGCTTTCGCTGAAGTGACTTCTAGTGCCTGGGAGGCAAACCTCGTCCAAAGATGCCCTGTGCGGTGGGATAGGACCGGTAATGGAAACAATTTATGGGAATCACTTTGCTCTCTAGCCACTGCACTTGGCTACCTTAAATGCGGAAATAAGAGAGGTTCTCATCCACTTGGAAAAGAACCGAAATTTGATCAAAGGATTCACCATGAATTGACTGATACCAATAGACAACTCATGTGGGAAAGAATTGCCTACAACACTCCCGTCTTGGGGCTTGTTGAAAAACTCTATTTGTGGAGGATGTCTCCATCAGAAGCGGTAATGGAAACATCAGTGGATGAGCTAATCAGGGGTGAGGAAAGTAATCAAGATTAATTAGCCCAGTGAAAGGATGATGCTGCACATAGGGAGTCTATGGCGAGGAATTTCTTTGCTTCAGCGTACTGGTTACCAGCGAACCCTACATAGTTAACTGCAAAGGGGCGGAACGAATTGGACCGTTTGTCTCCCAAATCCCAAACAAGGTTTACTTACTCCACGACAATGACACAGCTCGAGGCTGGAGAGGTTTGGTTTCCAGCATTCCACCATTTAACCCCAACAGTGAGTCAGCGCCTTCTATCGGCCATCTGAGCAGCCATCCTGCTGGAACAAAATTTTCAGAATCACTTCAATGATGACCTAACTGCTTTCCTTGGTGGCTTAGCTGTTGGCAACAAGTCATCAGCGACAATGGGGAAATATTGTGTTTGTCTAGTGCCGCTCTTATAAATAAATTTAACTCAAGTTTGAATTCGTCCCCATCTTTTGATATACACTCCTTATCCCTTAGACGGGGTAGGCGTGGCATTCGAACATGGCACAGAACTGGTTACTCGTGGGATATTTCAATTTGAGACAACCGCCATCTTGTTCTTTGTTGGACAGAGACGTGACCACATTTGGGTCAAAATGAAAATATCTCTCCAAAAGCATAGCCACCACGACGTTTAGTTGAAGTACGCAGCCACGCCTACCTCATCTCAGGGATTTCGAGTGTAAATAGTAAAATGCTACCAATCTGCAAAATGTTATGCACCATGTCAAGCGGAAAAATACTCCCATAACTCTGACTGATAGTAAGGGTGTATGGCCCATCCCATATAGCGTGATCTACGTCTCATGCTTTACCCTTTAGTGTCTTGTTAATGGGCTTGGAAATGGCCTTCCGACTCCAAGGGACAACTCATTCACGTCGGGTACCCTTTTCGCTTGCTGAGCGTGACCTTATGTGCTCTATTCTCCTTTGAATTATCCCCTTTTTTCTTTCAAGCTTTTCTTCGGCCCACTCCATAGCTATTGCTCGCGACATTCCGTTGAAACACCTATTGCCAACATCAATTGACATTATGTGCAAGTTCCGGTGCCTCAATTTCCGATTGGCTTTTAGTCGCTCGCTTCCACTCAGCGTCTCTGAGCCATGATAGACCGACTTTTTGCTAGGATCCATCTATTATTCAACAGCAAGATCCTCCATAAATTCAAGAGTGCTTGATGGATGGCCGCCTTTTTTCTAGAGCTGTTTTGGGAACACCTTTCAGTTCTCATGTCGAAAGCCCGCTTTAGTCTTTTCAGTCAGCAAGAACACCTCTAGTAGAGCTGTTGAATTTGTTGCGGGGGGCATTTGTCACTTTCTCCAGATCTCAGGTAATCCGGGCTGAGTACGGATGGTGAACTCTTTTGATTGCGAAATAGTAGAAGTGAGCCATCCCTAGTTACAAGAATGCATAGATCTTCACAAGATGGCCTGTACAGTATGCCTTTAGTGCCCCACCTGGCCGAACTGCGTCCCTTTAGCCTTGTTGTATGTTACTTTGTTAATACTTTGACCACGTTCACGCCACCTGTGGCTCAAGCGCACTCAAGCAGAAAAGGCCATTGTACTTGACGCTTTCTCGTCTACCGCGATTGTCGCTAACGTTCCAAGTGCCCTTCCTAAATGTGGATCGACGTAAGAACTGAATTGTTGGCCTCAAATGAGCGTCATGAACATTTTAATGTGTCTTATTGGCTCATTTTTAATCCTATAGCTCTTCCTACGTTTTCAATTTATTCTACACCTATTCTCTAACATTAATGAGGCACATTAGCGCTGTGAAAAAAGTGAAGTAACAATCCTATGAAATCGCTCATTGAATTCTAAATAGCGCTTCAATACCCTTAACGATTGGCCTGGCTATATGTTTGTTAAGTGCTAGAGTAGGTCTTCAAGGAAGTAACGCCTGGGCCTCAAGTAAATCAGAGCTGTCACCCGGCTACGCAAACTCACCTCATCGTGCGTTGTCCGCCTTATGTTGCTTTGTCACCACTTCCTGCTCGGTGAGAGAGAGACAAGCAGACATTACGTGGCAAAGTCAACCACCCCCTACCCCCCTCCCGCCTGCGCTTTCTTAATGTGGCGGCCTAGGCCCTGAATCCAAACAGCTTTGACCTCTCACCTTACATTACCCATTGTGTCTCTTGTCACCGTCGAAAAGTTGTGCTGCAGTAACATTAGTAGGTTGGGCACATTATTACTGAGGAGTCCTCAGAAGGGAAGAGGAATATTGTTTTGAGAACCTCCGCCATGTTCGGAGGGGGGATCGCAGCCATTTTCAGCATAGAGCTAAGAACGTTAGGCCCAAATTCATCACGAAAATCGCGTTTTCTCTTCGGTGCACTATAAGTAACGGGTTTAGTGCACTCCAAATCCCTGAGATGCGGTAGGCGTGACTGCGTACTTCATTTAAACATGGTGTGGTAAGGTTTAGCCATGGAATATTCCTATTTGAGACAACTATCATCTTGCCTTGTGCTAAAGAGAGAGAGTTCAGTTTCTTCATTGTTACCCTTTCTCTTTTTAAGTATCTTTACACATATTCCCCTTTGCGAAGACGTTAACTTTTTCATCAAAGGTGGCGCCTTTTGTGAAAATGAACTAGTGATCCAATGCTCTGATGAATGGCGACAGCCCCTCTCCCCCATTTGTAACCCTCCCTCAAACCATGGATTTTGATGGGGGGGGGAGGAGGAGAGAGGGGCAAGGAGGCGCCCTGACACGGCCACTCGACTTCCCTTGACGAATGAACCACCCTTGTGTGTAGTGGGGATCAAAAATTGATTAGGAAAGTGCATGTATCAAAAGGCAATGGGGTCGTTTTCAGATGCTGGGAGAAAACGCGTTTTTCATCCCCTGGACAATCTTTCGGCAAAGCAATTACAACCGCAGCAAGCCTAACATTATAAGAGCAATCAATGTTTCGTACAAGAGGTCATACAGACGTCTCCTCCTAGGACTTTCAGCGCTGTCATATGCTACAAACAATGACGGCAAACAAACAAACAAGACAACCCTTTGAAGAGGGCAGAGAAGTTCAAGAAAGGACAAAGTGAACAGCACTGATTGTCCTATTTTTAGCATGGCCCAGGCTCAGCTTCCTTTCAAATTCGTAGTAGTGTTAGAATGTATGTCGGCTTAAACGGCAATTTTCTAGAATATGCTTATTTTCACTTCATTTTTCTCATTTATGTGTTTCTGGTCCTGATAAGCTACCTGATCATTGAATTATAACTGACATAAAAAGATAGGTACTAATTTCACTTGTACTCAGCTCGAAGGAGCTCACTATCTCAAATACGTTTGGCGAGAAAATGTGGTTAGATAAGGTGGAAGGGCTTTTGATCCTTTCTGATGCAACACCGGGCGGTGAAAAATGATCCTT